AGTTCCACAATGATTCACATTGAAGCCAGAAAGTCGTGCTCATGGTAAAGACCAGAGCTCCTCTGATGACAGCAGCAGCCATTCCTAGCCACAGTGAGGTCCCGAGCTCCTCCTCTGATGAGAACAGCCTAGTTCGCATCAGGAAAAATATTCGCAACAAGCTTCTCCTAGAAAATCAACAGGCCAAGACGTTCCTCCCCAGTCCTCTTTTTATGGCTATTGGTAACAGTCTTCAGGTGGATCCTCCACACCCAGACCACGCTGATTCAGTTCAGCTGGGCGTTACAAGGTGACCAGTAGTCAACCCACTACAATACATATATATGGCGGGTTTTTTTATTTATTTATTTGTTTTTAATTTTAAAGTTTATGAGGGACCAGAAAGTCAGTGCCTTAGAGTGTTTTGTTTTGTTTTGTTTTGGGTTTTTGGTGGTTGTTTTTGAGCTAAGGTCTTGCTCTGTATTTTAGGCTGGCCTTGAACTCCCAGCCATCCTTCTACCTTAGCCTCCCAAGTACTAAGGTTATGAGTGTGTGCCACTATACCCAGCTTTCTCTTGAGAGATGTTAGATCTTTATCTTCTTATTTCACAAGTATTTTCCCTGTGGTTCTTTCATTATTTTACTTAGTACTTGATGTACCCTTAAGTAGATCCTTGTTGTTCAGTTGTAAGAAATTTTCTTGAATTATTTCATTATGTTTTCCACTTTTATTTTTCCATTTCCTTTTTCTGGAGCTTCTCTTAGTTCAATATTGGACTTTCTGGTTTAATCTTCTAATTTTCCCTTTCTCTCTCTCTCTCTCTCTCTCTCTCTCTCTCTCTGATTCCTTTCTCTTTATTTCCCTGCTCCCATCCTCCCTGTCTCATTTTATGGAAGACTATTTTGACTTTATATTCCAATTCTTCTATTAATTTTTTTCTATTAATTTTTAAATTTGTTTATCCTATATTTAATTTCCAATATTGATTTATTTTTAAGAAGCCAGTTTTTTCTTGTTTCATAGATACAATTCCTCCACTTGCCTTTCCCTCCACATTGTATAAATCCTATGTATCCTTCAAGGTTCAACTCAGAATCTACATGTTTTATGAGTTCTTATCCAATCCTTCCAACTCTCCACACTGGACAGGGATTCTGTGGTATTATATTCTGTGTTGTCTAATGTCTTATTATATTTATATTACCAGGTTCTAGGTTGCTGGGGACTCCTTCTAGGGATATTTTCTAGGTTCTTCTTGTCTTGAACAAAGAATTAGACAAGACAAACACAAAAGGTAGCAAGGTTTTACTTTCATTAAAGGTAGGAAAAGAAACATGCTCTGTCAAGTGAGAGTGGGCAAACTAGAAGTAGGAAAAGTATATTCTTCCAGGTGAGAGCGGGCCACTGTGAGAGAACGGCAGTGGCCAACAGCTCAATGGCACCCATCTTTTGCATCTCCTACTCCTCAGGTGGATGTCAGATCTCGGCCATCCTTTCAAAAACTTGCTTGAGTTCTTATGAGAAGAATTAAAGATGGCATTCTCTCGCTGGTCTCAGGTGCAGGGCTTTGGGAACTGTCTTTCTGTGCATTTCCTAGATGTCTGCTGTTGGCAGTTCGTGCCAACTTACTCGGCTAGTTGGCCATATTCTATTCTCCTGCCTCATTTTGGTTTATGTTGCCTCCTCAGCCTTATCTCTCCAGTTGTACCCATACACTTCTTAAGTAAGGACTGCTCTTGGAAGCTAAACAGAAGAACCAATTTTTAAAATTTAGTAGAGAAATTGGAGTATGAATTTGAAATAATCTTTCATAGAATTACTGAGAAAAGAGTGAAGAACGAAGGAATGAAAAGGTAAAACCAGAAGACCCAACATCAAACTAAAAAAAAAAAAAAAAAAAAAAAAAAAAAAAAAAAAAAAAACAGAAAAAGAAAACAGAAGAAAAAACCCCAAGGTAAAGGAATTACAAAGTAAATGATTCAGGAAGTTTTCTTAATTTTTAAAAGCTTACTTTTTCTGCATCAGCCCCAGTGCCTCATCTAGAGTTGGAAATATAATATAAGCAAGTGCTTGTTGATTTGGATTAAATGATAAGCTATAATTAATCCTACTAAGACAGGCTCTCCAGTCAGTAGTCTATAAAGCATACCAAAAACATAAGTATTGGTCAAGTAAGAGGAATGCAGAATTTAAAGATTTTTATAGTATTTCCTGCCTTTTACCACATCTCTCCACATATATAACTCAATAGCAATATTTTAATGCCTTGTTTTATTGTGTTTTCCTTGAAGTTATTGATTTAGATTTAACAGAGTAACTTTCCTCATATAGAGTACATTGATTTATAAATATTTAATTAAACTGTATAATGAAGCATCCAAGAACAGTTGGCACAAGCAGACTTGTAAACAGCTTTGGTTGGCCTATGAGTCCATTGGCAGGAACCAAAGGGCTTAGCTATATGGGACTGCGTTCTGCCAGCCTTACCCAGTTAGCTGGCCAAGAACATCAGAGTAGAAGAAATGAAGGACGTTTGTCTGTCTGGTCAGAAGCCCCTCAACACAGCATCTGTTGTCCTCTAGCCTATGTGCCTCAAGAAGAGGGCTCTAGAAGAAGTACACCTGAGCTGCTTTTCTCCCTTTGCAGTCCAGGACGTACATAAGTAAGCCAGTTGACATGGATTAGTGCTCAGCCTATGGTCTTAAACTAGAGCAAGGCTCAATGGCCCAGCAAGGGGCCAACAATCTTGGTGTCACCAGAACAAGGATTCACCAAGCTAAGATGCAATTTCCTGGCCATGAGTCCTCCAAAGGCCAGCAGAATTCTACCAGGTCCAGAGCTTTGGCTTTTTCATTTCCAGGATGAGATCTCAATCCTCTTCCTATTTCCAGCAATTTGGGTAGGCAATACTGAGTCATGTCCGTTCCCTATCCCTTTTCTCCACCATTTCTACAACCACCAGGCTTTGAAGGAATCAAATGCAGGTTCTCAGAGAGGAAGTAGCAGTCCAGCTGGCTCTGATAACACCTACCCCAATATGAATCACTTTGTACAATAGCAAGTTAAGTGGAACTTGGAGACCCTACTTGCTTGATGTTCCCCTATGAAGGGAAACCTCTAAATATAGTTGAAATAGGTTAGTATAAATGGCAGGAATGAGTACTTATATTCCTGTTGTCATGCCGAAGGGACTGGGAGCACTTCGTAGCCACCGTAGTCACAAACATAAAGGAAGCTATCCCTTCTGGCCACTCTCGTGGTGGGGGCAGATTGTTCTGTGAATAGAGGCTTGAGAAAACCCCATCGAAATTGCAACTCAAATGCTCTATATAAACATTTCCCAGGTAACAGAACTTCAGCCTATCAGTTAGAGGAGGGTTATCTCCACATGCTGCCAAAATGGAAGCGATGTTATTGAGTTGGTTTCATGGTAAACTTAATTTTACCTGGTGCTAGTTTGTTGGGACACAACATAGAACTCTCAACTCAGTGAAGGTGGCAACGCTGCACCGTTTTATAAAATGGTAAGTGTACTTCTCCCTACCTAGCTCCTAGGCCTTTACCCTTTTCTAGTGACTTTTCTATCTCTTCTATGACTACTTCATCACAGAGTAATGAACAAAGACAGATTTATTTGTAGATTCACAATAATTGCTTCTAATTTTCCTCCCTCAAGGCTGTAATATTAAGGGGTCATAATTCTCCATCCTCCTGTATTTGACTCATTCTAGTAACATCTGTTCCTTTGCTTTTGTGCTGGTTCAATGTGTCTGAGTCTATTTCTAAGTCTCCGGTGAGCTGACTTCCTTGCCCACTGGCTGCCATCACTTCCTATGGCTGAGTTTCATTATGTTTCTGACAGGGACAGAGAGCCCCCTAAAGGTAGCATTTCTAGCATTTCCCCATGTGTCCAGCTCTTGTCTCATCAGGCCCTGCAGAGTGATAGTCTTCACTTCCCAAAAGCTTAGGGTATGTGGGGGGGGGGTATCCATAGACCAGGTCCCTCTCTCTCTCTCTCCCTCTCTCTCTCTCTCCCTCTCTCTCTCTCTCTCTCTCTCTCTCTCTCTCTCTGAGGCTCCCTCCATACTCATGACCCCTGTGGCTGCCAACTTTCTTCTTCTTCATGTAGAGGACTGGCTTCACTTTTTTAAAACGCTTTTTCAGACAGCCATGGTCATTCTCCTAAGGATCTGGAATAGGTTAAAATCTTCCTTCCTCATCTTATCCTCCCTGAAAACTCTGACCTCTTGGGTCTGTTTGCTCTTCCCGGGTTGGGAAGGCTCTTAGACACATGGGCATTGCACTTCCTTTTGGTAGGAAAAAGTACTCTAAAAGTGACCACAGAAAGAAATATGTAGGTAGTTAGCACTATAAGTATTCACATTAGATGGGTCCGAGAAGTGACTCCCCCAACCACCGAGACAGTTCTGGTTTGGGACAAAATTTTTAAATATATTTATGTCCCTCCACCACTCTACTCCTCACTTGAAAAAGAAAAGAAAACTAGCGACATCCCTCTCTTACTCAACAAGTGACCATATCGCTCAACCATGGACTTGTGCCTTCAGGTCAGATAATTCCAGCATGCCTCCCGAGTAGAATCAGTTCCAAATAGGAAGAACTGATCATCAGATCCCTGTGCAACACTTTTTAACTGACTGAAGCAGTGGTCCCAAGAGCCATAAAAGACCTTGCTTAAAAAAGGGTAATAGCCTACAATGCCAGCTACTTGGGAGACTGAGGCAGGAGGATCACAAGTTCAAGTCTAGCCTGAGCAGTTTATCAAGGCTCTATCTCAAAAAATAAAAAGGGCTGGGAAGGTAGCTTGGTGAGGAGTATGTGACTAGCATGCAGGAAGCCCTAGGTTCAATCCCTAGTACTAGAAAGAGAAAGATAATAAATTAAAAGACTTTGCCCTCTCCTAAATTTTCTTTAAAAAAAAAAAGCTGGTTATAGGGAAAAAAAATGGTCTGTCTCAACCCAAGAATATAATAACTCTGCCTCTCTCTCCTTGTTTTAGGGAATGCTGTCGATTTTTTGGAGACAATGGCTTGACTTTGAAGGTGTTTTTTACCAAGGCAGCACCTTTCGGTGTTCTTTGGACACTCACAAACTACCTGTACTTACATGCAATAAAGAAAATAAACACTACGGATGTCTCCGTGTTGTTCTGCTGCAACAAAGCTTTTGTGTTCTTGCTCTCATGGATCGTTCTCAGGGACAGGTTCATGGGAGTGAGGGTAAGTTCTTTATTATCTGTCTTCCTCCCTCACTCAGTCATGTCAACCAAAACTTGCCCATTGGCTTGCTTAGCTCCATGTGCTGGACCATGAGCAGAGCTGCTGGCCACTGTCCTGATTTGCAGCAGAAAAGGGCCCACAGAGGGCTCAGTTCTTGGTGTGCCTTGCAAACTTTCTTGCTTGCAAACCATACAAGACAAGCATCCATTAAAGCACCTTTCATTTCAAGCATTTCAACAAGCATTCCCTAAAGTGTGTGCCAGTTGGGGACCCAGCCTGCGAATGGCCATGTGCTCCGCTCTCTGCGTACTCACCCACTCCCCATGGCAGCTTCCCAGGCTGCAGCACATGGCATGACTGTGCGCTGCAGCCTGGAGCTTTCTGCCAGTGTCAGCATTCTCTGGTGAGGATGCGTCCAGCAGCCAGAGACCCTGCCTATCCATGTGCGTGTGCGAGTGTGGCCCTCTGCCTAACCCATGTGTCACAGCCTAAAGAAGCCAGACACATTCATGCCAAGTCCAAACTGTAGGAGTAGTAGTTCTACTTCCTTTCTCCTCCAAATGCAGGCCAAGTGAAATTACATGGCTTGACTTGCTGTGCATTTTTCAAGCAAAACTTAGTAAAGTATAAAGTTAGTCAGATCGTAAGAGTTGTAGGAAATATGATGAATGCATTGTCAAGTACCCATTGAACTATGGAGAGTCCACACTCTAATTAAGAGGAGCAGGTGACTTGCTACATGCTACAGAAGTCCCTGGATAATTCTGGTGGCAGGAGATGCTACTGCCCACCATCACCTTGCCACAGACCAGGATAGGAAGCTCCAGCCATACCACTAGCTGTTGTTCCAGTGTACCTCTTCCTTCTTCCTCTCCTGTGATGGGCGTCCAGGTCCAAGCAATCCCTGCTGGGAACCAGCGAGGGTCGGGCTCCAGGCCCCACACTTCTGGTCCATGCCTCATTGTCCTGGGAATGATGACATCACCCTAGGGGTGAGTTCACGCCCACCCAAGTTACTCAAACAGCAGTGGGGACATGAGTCAACTGCTGAGTTGTATTTTTAGCATGCAGTAGGGGGAGAATTTGTTTTGAGACTTCATGTTAATTTTGGAATAAAAGCTCACTCCCTGGGCTACCACCCAGAAAAGCCTTCACCAAACAAGTGATCCAGTGCATCTCTGTGAGGACTGCAGCTGCCCTGCTGTCTCTCGCTCCTGGCCTGCCTGACTTGACACTAACAACATAGGTCTACCGGGCCACTGCCAGCCATTACCCACCCCCCCGACTTTATTCTGATACAGAGTCAAGAGAATTCATGGAGCTTTTCAGCATGATTCAGATGTCCCAAGCAAACAAAAAATGAGACCTTGTTACTGGGTAGACAGTCCAAGAACAATGCTACCCCGCACATAAGAAAGTAATTTTTTTGAGCTTAAGAAATGGACATAGGAAAAAGTTTGAAGCACTCCTAGACTCACAGAGAGCAACATGTCCCTTTCAAATCTTTTCTACCTCCTAGTCTTGAGTAGGGGGCCTCTCCTCCAATGTCCCTGGGCTGTGATACAGCCTAGCTATGTGGCATTTGATCCAGTGGTCTCAGCTGACCTCTGAATACTATATTTTGTGCCAAAGGCCTCCAGTACTAGGCCAGCACTGCCATGAGTAATCCTTAGGCCAGTGTTGCTGATGGGACATTATAACTTGCAAACACTGGACGTGTTTCTTGGGAATAAATGGCTGGTCATCTAAGAGTTTGCTGATGCATGCTGTGGTGGGGTGGGGGTGTTCCTGGTTCTTCAGGAGCTCCGAGATCAGAAATATCTGTGAGACTGAAAGTTTCCCCCTCATAAGCAGATAGAGATCAGTGCGTAAGGGAATATATAAGTGCACAGGTCTCTTACACTTCCCCTAGACTTCCAGGCTAGATAGCATCTTCCACTGGGAGCTTCCAAAGATTGAAGAAAGCTCATCGGTTCCCAATCCCAAGAGGCTGTGAAGGTTGCATCCAGGGGGCAGGTTGCAGAAGAGATTTGCATGATCAAGACAGTCACTCAGATCATCAAGGCTGCAGCTCCTGGGGAACATGGAAAGGGCTTGTTCACGTATACAAATCCAGAAAGAAGCAAATGTGCCTTATAATGCTTGAGTGTGGGGTGGTTTCTGGCCACTTGGGGCATCAGAGAGAAAGAGCTGTCCAGGTGTCTGTGGAAACTGCTTTCTGTCTCAGTGTGTTCTTCGTGTGTGTCCAAGACCAGAAGCTCTTGTGCAGGGGTGAGAGGCTCAGTCTAGTCACATGTCTAGGGTGTAGGTTTTGACTCTATTTTTACAAGCTATCAGAGCTTGGGTAAATGTCTCTGAGCCTTCGTTTACCTCAGTCAAAGTGGACAGAATATTGCCATGGAAAGAACAACTGTGAGAATAAAATAAGCAGGAGCATGCTTGGCTCGTAAAATTTTACAAAATTAACTTTCCTCAATGTTATTACTCCATATGAATTAGAATAGGTGGATGGATCAGTCCCAGTCTTTGACAGTGTCAGAGGCTGGTGAGTACTCGGTGAGGCAGCTCTGTGTATCAAAGGCAAGAGTGAGTCAAGGCAGGAAGAGCCTGAGGGCCCAGAGCCCACCGACTGTGGCCAGACTGGGTAAGACCCCCCTCTCCCAGCCTCCACTGCAGGGGAGGAAGATGAGTGCTGTGGAGTGTTCGGGACTACTCATGACCACTCTTGCTGGGAGGGCTTTCACATGGCATTGAGGGCAAAGACAGAGCAAGAAGATGGGTCAAGGGGTCACCCATGCAGGCATCAAGCCCCATGGCACATTGCTGGGGATTCAAATGGTGAACTTTTCCCAAGATCAGTTCCCTTCCTAGTCAGACTCCAGCTGATGTTTGCAGTAATCAGTGTGTGCTAAGTGCTTCCAATGGGCCATTGCTGGGTATTGACTCCCGCGAGTCTGAGCCCGTGTCGTGGGGGCTGAGCCCAGCACAGATGGCACACAGAAGGCAAGGAGCAGACCAGAGCAGAGAGTTGCTCAGTTGAGCCAAACCATAATATTCCTTGGGCCATTGAGAGAAGTCCAGAAGCCAGGAAGAAGAGGGTTTAGAAAAGCATATTCAAAAATTAGCCTGTTCTTTTCTTTTGCAAAATTGTCCAACATTGTACAACCTGAAAGTGTCTAGGTCGGTTCTGTCTGTCAAAGAATATGCAGCCTGCCACATTCAAATTCCCAAGTTTGAATGAGACTTGGGAGGAGCTGTGTGCTCCTTGATGGTTAGCATTGACCCTCCTATCTCTTGTGTCCTCCTGGGTCCCTCTTTCCCCTTTCAGCTCAGCTGGAGTAGATGGCATCCTGTTAGCACCCCACTTGCTGGGACTCAGATCCTAGATTGCAAGCTGGCAGGTGCTGATGGGTGAGGAATATGAGGCACCTGAGAACACATAACGCAGCCCCTACCTGTGTCTCCCCTCACTCCACCAAGTTTTCCCCAGATAAAGCAGAAGTAGTGGCTTTCAGCAGCCCCGGGGCACTGTTGCTCAGCAGCACTTGTTTCAGAATAGTCCCGTAGGATAAGAGGGGTGGGAAGGAGGGAAGTCAGCTTGTTCCTGTCCACAAGCAGATGTAGAACCTCCCTGAGGTACATGGGAAATCACAGGCCAAACTGGACCAAACGTCCACAGAGCCCACTGCAGCACCACAAATATTTTCATGGGAGAAACAAGAAGCTCAAGGACCTTAGGGTGCAAAACACATAAAATAAATAGGCTTGTGCCTTGTGTGTGTGTGTGTGTGTGTGTGTGTGTGTGTGTGTGTGTAGTACTGGGGATTGAACCCAGAGCCTTTACCCTGAGCTAATGCTCAGCCCTTTTCTTATTTTTTAGTTTGAGACAGAGTTTCCCTAAATTGCTGTGATGCTCAGCTGAGCTCAAACTAGCTATCCTGCCTCCACCTCCCAGAATGCTAGGATTACAGGGTGTGCTGCCATACCCAGCTAGGTGCATGCTTTACAAAATAGGACTGGAATCTTCAAGGGAAGCCAGGCTGGAGGAAGCACCCAGACTCTGAACTTGCTGTGCTCTGAAGGAGCCTGAGAGCCAGGCAGGTGCCCCCACGCACACACACACTCCCTGGCACCTTTCTGGGGTCTCACATCCCTGCATGGCTGCTGAGGCCCCAAGATCCAGCGCCCCCCGCCCCGGTGTAAAGATGCTGTGACTTGTGGGTGGGGCCCTAGGAGGTCACCGTCCCTGATCCACCTGCTGAAAGGAACCCACAGGGCTCTGGTGTGTGTCTCCTCACTGACCTGTGTGGAGTGGCTCTTCCTCTCACTTCTGGCTTCTCCAACCCCACCCCTCCAGTGCTTCTGACAGGCCCTGCTTAAGTGGAATCTTTTAGCTGCTTATTATTTACTCAATAACAGAAAGGAAGAGGCTAGAAACCTACCTGGCAAGTCTTGGGAAAAAGATAACCCTGTTTTTCATTCCCTCAACTTTAGCCATAAGTTTGGAAAGACTCAAGCACAGCAATGCACAGAATCACTAGACGTTTGGCTCTTCGCTCTCTCCCTTCATTTTTACCCAAGTTCTTCTCACAGGGAACCTTGCCTTGATGCCTGGCTCGGGTGAACCGATCCTAGTGGCATCTCTGCACCACGTGCGTCCTTCTGCCCTCCTCTCCGTCTGCTTGTCACTCGCCCCTCCCCTGTCCTCCAGGTGGGGGGTGGCTGCTGTCTCACGCCCTCAGCGTCTCTCTCAGGGAACAGTTGTATGCGGTCCATGCAGCATCTGCACGTGAAGCGTTTGCGTGTGCGTGGTGCAGAAGGGCACAGCTGACTGAGTGAGTGACTGAGCCAGAAGACAGGAGCAGGCAGATGAGGGGCAGCTTTAACGCAGGATGCCATCCGCTCCCCTGGGCCTGGGTTTTATGGGCACGTGTAGTGTTCTCTGGAAATACTGCATAAAGCATGCACCAGAAGTGTGCAACCGAAATACACTGTATGAGGCTCGACCACATTAGCTCTCGATAACCTAGAAAATGGAGGCCTAACTCACTGAGGAAGCCTCAATTTGCATCTGAGAGCTCAGCTAGTAACAGCTTATTAGGTGCGCCAGGCTGTCTTGCTCGTATCAGCGCCAACTTCACCATCAGACATCCCTGAAACCTGTGTCTCCTCTCCCGCATGCAGGGATGTGACTTTCGGCAAATTATTCAGCTTCTGCGAGCCAAGTTTTCATGTCAACAAAATGAGGTGAATACTGTGTATCCATCTATTTTGAGGATAAAGTGAAAAAATACATAGAAAACTGAAGTAAATCTTAGGTATATGACATTGGTAGAGACAGATAACTAATGTCAATTTTGAACGATCCCTAAAAGGGACAGATCTCTTAGTAAATCCAGCAGTTGAGACTTGACACATCTGTTCTACTGAGGACATCCTCCCTGACTCCCTGGGAGCTGAAGGACAGAACCACTCCTCCAGGTCAGGACAGTGTTTATAGCCAGAACTGGCCAGTGTGCTGTATCGGGTCTCACTACTCTCCCCACGGTGTCTTTCCTGGTGAGATACAAAATTATAAAAGCAAGATCACATGAGGTCACCTTAAGGTAGTTTACAGGGACTCTTGACCAAGCCTTGTCATGACAAATGAACCTGTCACCAGAATTCAGGATCACAGTGATTTTCCACAGCCTGAGGCTGAGGCTAAGCCAGGCCCCTCCTGGCTGCCACCTACTCAGATCCTTGGTCATTCCAAGCTCGGCTAAGTGACTCTAAGCATCAGTACACATGTCAGTGGGGCAGCCCTACCTGTCCTTCCTCTAGGAGGCCCAGGATGGAGGCACCACCCTCCCCCACAAATATTTCTAGCTGATTGGCCTCGTGTGGTCCCCACCACTGCCCCCACCTCTGCCCTGACCGCCATCTCCTTCCACCCATCCAGATCGTGGCTGCCATCCTCGCCATCGCCGGCATCGTGATGATGACCTACGCCGATGGCTTCCACAGCCACTCCGTCATTGGCATCGCTCTGGTGGTGGGCTCTGCGTCCATGTCGGCTCTCTACAAGGTACCAGTGGGTAGCAGCTTTCCAGGAAGGCCATTCTTGGCAGGCAGGCATGGGAGCATCTCAGGGATGGCCCTTTACTCTGGGGAACCCCAGATGGCACCAGTGCTCCGAGAATGGTTGTTTCCTGTGTCCACCAGGTGGGTGGAGAGCGCCAAGGGTAGGGCCCAAGCAGTGGCTGCCCTCAGCTTTGTCTGTCTGGACTTGTTCACTGGCGACCGCACATTTACAGCAGTTGGGGTAAAATACACAGTGCCAGCCGGATTGGAAGACCTGTGACTTCATTGTTTAGGGGGGTGGAAGAGGATCCAGGCCCTCCGAGGCTGTCCAGTGTTGGCTCAGAAGAGTTCCCACTGATGAGACTAGGCCCCTTTGTCGTGCAAACCCTGACTACCTCACAGGTTTCGTGGCCAGCAGCACTCACATGAGTCCACTCTAGATCGAACATCGGCAGTCGGCCGAGTGAACAAAGGCATGACTGTTCTGAGTGTTAAATATACTTTTGACATGTTGAGAACAATCAGGAAGCGCTTCCTCAGTGCAGGTCTGGAGGCAACAAATGCAGTATTTACTCCCACTCTGGCGTCCCTAGCTCTGTTCACCCCCTTCCAATTGACCAAGCCTTCTTCATGCTGTCTCTCTCCCCCTGCCTTTCCTTTCCTCTGCTCTCTTTTCCTTGGGGTGTCAGTGGACAATACAGATACTTTCAGGTCTCAAGCTGGGGTGCCAACCTGAAGGGCTCAGAAATGTGGCTTAAGCTTTGAAATGTATCAGCCCTTTGTGGATCCAGACAGCTGGACACAGAAAATTAAGTACTGTAGAAAGTCATGAGAGAAAGCATTCCCCCCATCTCTGTGGGCACCATATGTTATGGTTTCTGAAAAGTGAAATACTTTTGCCTTCTTATCCTCCATCAGCTCCCTGCCCTCTCCACCCACAGAGAGACACACACATTGTTTTCTTTCCCTGCAAAGAAAACCAAGGGGTTGTGATAGACTAGCTCTAATTCTGATATTTCAAAGCCACTCTTCAAATGCAGAACAAGGCCCAGCTATGCCTTCATCAACTGTGTGCCAGCGAGGAACGGAGATGGTGTAAACGCCACCCACAGAAGCACAACAGTCTGACTTAGATTCCTGACCCATATCCTCTGCCACCTGAAAATTGTCCACAGGGACTAATGGCAGGCTGAAGGGCTGCCTCTCCGGCTCCGCACTCCCTGCAGGTATACCAGGACACACCTGTGTGAGGTGCAGAATGGCTGGAAGAGGAGAAAGGACGAAGAGCAGGAGGGACAGCAGCATGGAGACCCATGTTAGCCAGAGCACTAAGCTCAGAGTTGGATGAGGCCTTTGGCATCTCTAAGTCCAGCCTTTGGCCACTCCAGTCTTTCTCCTCTGACCTTCCAAGCACCCAAAATGATGTAAAAACAAGAACAGAAAGAACAGGCACAGGAAATCAAAATTCAGTGAATTCCACTGAAACCCATGCCCTTTCCATCATGGAGGCAGTCGGACAGAACAGATGAGTAAATCCCTGCACCTTACATCTGGAGAACAGGTCTGCGCAGCCAAAACCCTTTTTCTTGAGGTAATGGTTTCAGACTGTGCTGTATAGGTTCAGGGTCTTGAGAAGATGTGTAATGAGGGTAGATATATCCAATTGATGTAGTACGAACACAAGTCACATCTCATGTGAACACTTGTGACTCTTGAAGAGTTTCCAGTAATCTGTATTGCTCTGTGACTGAGATGCAAGTATGTGGTCAGAAGCCCACAGGCCTGGCCCCGCTACCCCTTAACTGGCTGGCTGCCAAGTAAGGTAAACTTTATCTGAGCCATGGCCATCTATCCTGTAGTGCAGCCCCAGCTGTACCAAGTACAAACTGCTTCACCGAGCTGGAGTCTGAAGGACCCCTGGCCCTCTCCACAGGTTCTCTTCAAGCTCCTGCTGGGCAGCGCGAAGTTTGGAGAAGCTGCCTTATTCCTGTCCATCCTGGGTGTGTTCAACATCCTCTTTATCACCTGCATCCCTGTCATCCTCTACTTCACCAAAGTGGAATACTGGAGCTCCTTCGATGACATTCCATGGGGAAACCTTTGTGGATTTTCCATCCTCTTATTGAGTAAGTGGCGCCTACCTTGCCCAGAACCCCCAGAAAGCAGTGACATACAGAGGACTCTGGAGGCCTGCGTGCTGAAAGATAAAAAGAATGTTTCCTGCTATAGTTTTTCCAGAGCTACGGCTCTTTGTTGTTATGACAATAATCAATGCCACCCTGGTAGGGAGAGGACAACCCAGTTTCTTGCTCGTTGCCCAAGAGAGACAGTGCGTAAGGAGCTGTAAGTGAATACACAGGGAGCTCTTTGAACATTGCCTGAGTGTCACCCTTCAGTACAGTCAGTTGTCATTATTATTGTCATCATCGTCACGGTTGTCACTTACTGGAAGGCTACTGCTAGGCAGTAAGTCTACAAAGGAGGTGCTCACCAGAGACCTCTGCAAACCCATATCCCAAAACTCCCACCGGTACAGCCACCCCAGGGGCACAGCCAGCAGCAGAGAAAATCTGTTCGGAAGGCCCCACCCCATTTTTTCTAGTGTGTCCCCACTAGTCACTGTCTGAGCTCTTTACCCTGTTCCAAAACTCGGGAAAGAGAGGACATTGAGTAATCAGAGTCCCATACCCTAATCCCAAGTCTTGGCCCCCTGAGAGGAATCCAGCAAAGGGTCCTTGTACCTCTTGCTCCAGTCTCCCCTGAGAAATCACACTCAGCAAAGTCACTGAGGAGGAAAAGAACAGGGCAGTCATGAATAATCCCTGCTTTTTAAATTCTCTATTTCAGCATTCAATATTGTATTAAATTTTGGAATTGCTGTTACATACCCCACGCTGATGTCTCTCGGAATCGTCCTCAGTGTCCCTGTGAACGCAGGTAAGCCTCTGTGGCTTTCTGTATCCTCTTGTTGACAAACACAGACTCATGCACACATGCACACATATCCCCACATACGTACCACACTGTAACATATACACTCACATATGTCTCACTGTCCCTGGTGTATAAGGCATGTTTAAACTTTTACAAAGAAAAAAAGCATTTAGGCAAAAAGTTGATGTTCATATATCCATGATATTTTCTCCATAACGGCTTGATGTTCATGTACCCCGAAGATACAGAAAGTCTAAAGCTATCTCAATTCTAATTGCCATGGGGAGCACAGATGAATATCATCAGTATTATTAATAGAGAAAATTATGCAGCAAAAAATTAAATTTTGCAAGTGTCTTTCTAGAAGAGAAAATGTGCTCAGGGTGTGATATAGAAAGACATTAAACCAAAAGGGCACTGTTGCCCTCTACCTCCTGGGACCAGAGCTGACTTTGTCCTGTCAACACGTCAGCCGAGGGCACTTCGCAAAGCTCATTGTCTTCCCCTACTCCTCAGCTCCTTTCTCTTCCCAGCTCATGCTGCTCTGCACTTTGGAGTTTCTTCCCCCATCCCCAGGCTCACACCCAGCCTCCCTGTGCACAGCTCGCAGCCAGTGAAGAGCCAGGAACCCTCGTGTCCAGAACACTCTTGGCTGGAGCACAGCTTCTTTCAAAGCTATCCTCTGAAACTCTCTCTTCGGGGCCATGAACCTCTCAGGGAACCAGCCCTCATCCTGCTCACAGCTGTGCTATATATGGCTGAAGGCCTCGGTAGAACAGCCCTTCACTGTCTGAGTCTTCCCCAGCGATTCTGCTCCTCGCTCTTCACATGTTCTAAATGAGCCTGGCCCATGCCTTAGAGCAGTGTGAAGAAGCCTAGAGGGGCTTCAGGAAACTGCACTCAGCATCCCTCCGGGTCTGTGCTTCCCCCACTCATCAGCCCCCAAGGTCTTCACCTAGCCCCTCAGTGGACCACTGAAGACCTCACCTGCCTGGAGTACTTCAGATAATATGAGAGCACAGTAGTGCCAAAGGAACCTCATGCACAACTGACAGAAAGGTAGTCTATGCCCTGAGGGCTTCTGAAAAGTACCTTATCAACATCCTGCCCTGCATTCTTTGAATCTTTCTTTAACTCACGCTTACAAGAGGAGGTTCTTAGCAAAGAAAGGTATAGTCCAGGTAGTTCTCACATAGAAACTGACTTTGGCTGTAACTTGTAGCCAGGTGCTTGTGAAATCAATGAAAATCACTTCTTGCTACTATACTTACGGGCACCATAAGTGATTTAATAAGGTGCCATGGACAGGACTCCATCTCCTGGCTAGAGGAGAGAAGCAAAGGAACCAGCACCTTACCAAGCTTGTCAGAGCAGGGACATTGCCCGCCCTTAGGACTTGCCTCATATCTGCCCAATGCAACTGACAGGTGGTGACTGTTCCCACCTGGTAATTGGCAAAATGCATTGCAGATTAAAAATATTTCTGAATGATGGTGAGATAAAGAGATGCCTTTATTCCTTGAAGGGCTCTTAGCAATATTTTTCCAGATTTAATATTTACCCCCTCAGCATTTTTCTGCTAGAGGAGGAGGAAGTCAGGGAGGGAGAAGGAGGAGAGGCAAGAGGAAAAGGAGGTGGCAGGACTGAGACAAGCCCGACTCAGCAATGTTCGGCCCCAATCCACTGTTCGGGAAGTCACCATTCAAAAGCTACACGCTGTAAAGTTGACAGTCCTCTCTCCCAGGAGAACGTAACACTTGTGTGGATGGCAGTCTCCAAATATGCTGTATTAGTACAAAAAAGAGAAGCGCCCACCACAGGAAAGGAGGGGACCCACAGCACAGTGTTTTTAAGTGCAAGTTGGGTTGTCCGGAGAATGGTGATCTGGATCTTTACAAACTGACGTGAGTCAGCTTCTCCCTTAGACGCATCACTTCATGTGGATTAGGATGGGCCATGCATGAGCCCAGAGGTCTTTAGTAAGCCCTCAATGAAGGCAAAGACCCCAAAGGCACTCGAGCCTCTCACTGGTTAATGCTCAGAGAGGAGCAGGAACTCATATTTATTACCTTGAAAGAACTGGTTCGAGTTTAGTCTTCCAAACCAATACATATCCCCAGATTCTCCTTATTTATTTTTCTCTCACCTACAAAACAATGTTTAAACTCAGAAACCAGGTCAGTTTGGGGAGGTGAAATACAAGTGAAACGCCTCCGATCCAGCGAGCTTTAGGAAGTCTAAGGTGATTCACTTGAGGTGACCTTGTCCTTCTGGAACAAGTGGGGCCCTGGCGATTCTGTGGCCCAGGAGGACTGTGGGTTGCCCAGGGAAGCTGGGTGTTCCAGCATCTCCTGATCCTGTGCCCTCAGCCTGGCTGCCAAGTCACCGGAGTTCTGTCTTCCACAGTGGTGGATCACTACACCAGTCAGATAGTCTTCAACGGGGTTCGGGTCATCGCCATCATCATCATCGGCCTGGGCTTCCTCCTCCTGCTCCTGCCAGAGGAGTGGGACGTCTGGTTGGTCAAGCTGCTCACCCGCCTCAAAGTGAGGAAGAAGGAGGAGACAGCTGAAGGTGGGGCAGACCCGGGCTCGGGACCCCAGAACAGGAGCAGGAGAGCCCGCCCTTCCTTCGCACGCTAGGGCCACTCCTCTGGGACCGTGGGGACGTCCCGGCGGTACTGATTTGGTCTCTTCTGTTGGGAGGAGACTTGGGGGGGCAAGGTGTACATACCTGTACAGTTTTGGTAACCTGCGGTAAGTTCTATGGTATTTATTGGCATGTCCAACTTGCTTGCACTTTTCCACATCAGACCTTCCACTTAAGGGAACCAATTCAATATGGCAGAGAAAAGAACCTCTTAGTGCTCTTTCAATGAATGTAAAGTAGGTTAAAATGAGCCGTATTGACTGCTTCGGAAGACAGGCGTGTTTTGAATCTTAGCAACTGAAAATGACATTGTACACTGTGATTATTTTTCAGCTATAATAGGTCATATTTTGTTTTATATCAGAGCTGTACTTTTAATTTTAAGGAATTTCAATGAACCAAAAGATGACTGTCAGTTCATTCGGATGGATGGATGGGTGGGTGGGTGAGAAGAGAATAAACAGGAAAGGATAATGGACATGAACACCATCGCAGAACAGGCCTGCATGTCACAGGGAAGAAGGAAGTCCAACCCCAGCCGGCCTGCACTCTTGTGTCTTCGCAAGATCACACAGGAGAATTTATAGTGCCTTCTACAGAATTTTCGTCTTTACCTATGTGAAGCGAGGTGACATTCTAAGTCACTGGCGTCGTCTTACAATTTAGATGTAGAAATCTTTAGAAACAAATAAACCTATGTGTGTGTGTGTGTGTGTGCGTGTGTGCGTGTGTGCGTGTGTGTGTGTGTGTGTACAAAAATAACAAAGCTGGTGACCAGTGTATTGGGGACGTGGTGGAAGGTGTACGATATGCAGAGATGGAAGATGTGCTGGAATGGAGTTGCTAACGGCTTTTACTTCAAGACCAAGACTGAAAAATTATTTACTGAATCTGTAAACCTTTTTATGAAACTTTTAAGCACCAGGCTGTTTCCTTACACAATTTAGGTCAGCCAGAAAATTCTATCTGTGATAGATATGTAAAGAGGGACCTGGGGTTAGAGTTTACTATTTTTGAAGTTTACATTGTTACATATGAAATGGAAACATTATTTTGAAATGTTGTCATAACCCAATGGTGCATTCTGTAACCATGGAGTCTTTCGTTTCCTGGGGGACAGGGGCATTCATGACCTGAACTTTTTAGCAAATTATTATTCTCAGTTTCCATTACCTGTTTGGCCAAACAGGATAATAAAATATTTGAAAAAGAAGTGTTGAGTGTGGTCTTGGTGGCCATTTTGTCACTTTCTACTGTGAGGGTCCTGTAAGGCTCCCTCCAGGCAGGTAAGCCCACCTTGCTGCTTCGAGGGATGGTAACTCTCACTGTAACACAGACCTAACTTGTGAGACAGTGCCATGTAGAAGTGTCCTCAGGTGTTATGACACTGTTGATGGCCCTCTTGCTTCACTGTTTCCCCTTGCCCCTCCCCTAGCCATCTCTGCTCGGCTCCACAGATCTCCTGCCTCTTTTCCTCTTCAGAGGCTTCCTCGTCAGACTCACACTGGCCACGAATTCCCCCTCAACATGCTACCCCTTGCTTCCAACACACGTATCCCATCATTCTTGCCATTTTTTGAACTGTTTCTAGAAATCCTCTTTCATGAATGTCTTTGCTTGTGCTCTGATGGCTGCCTCAACATCCTGAATGGATCCAAAACATTTGCCTTTCATGGTCATTGACTTTAAGGAAGAGCCAGAAGCTGCCCAGTGCCAAATCCTTGGATACAGGCCATGAGGACATACCATAATGATTTTACAAGCTGGCCTTTCCATCAGATGGCACTCAGTGGCAGCATTTAGAGTTCTTTTTGAATCATAATTTGTAAGACACTCACAGAAGACTTCCAGAACTGCTTCAGAATGTGACATGAACAATCAGAGAAGTTTGTCAAAGTGAGAAGTGTTTTGAGGGTAATTAATAGCCATGTGTCTTTTACTGTAATAAGAAGTCAAGTATTTACCATGTTTTTAACCACCCCGTGTATTTCCTCTACAAGCCGTAACATGGAGACATTGGAAAGTGCTACCCTAGAGTATGCTGATCTCCACAGGGCAAAAGAGACTAAGATGATCCCAAAGATTACCTGCACATCCATGTTCACAGAAACAGTATTCCTGGTAACTGAAGGTGGGAGCCACAGCACATCAAGGGATGAATGGATAAACAGTATGTGGCCCTCGTATACAATGGGATGCCATCCAGCCTGACACCACCATTGCACGCCGAGCCTCAGGGTCCATATGCTACATGAAATAAGCCAGCCCCAAAGGACAAGTGCTGTGTGATTCTGCTTAATTGAGAGTCAAGTCCTTAATGACAGAAAGTAAGCTGAGGGTCACCAGGGACTGGAAAAGAGCAAGGTGAGTTGGTGTTGAAAGGGGACAGTCTCAGCTTGGGAAGATGAGAAAATCCTAGAGATGGAGGGTGGTGTTGGGGGCACAGTGATATGAATGTTCTTAATGCTCAGAATGGCATGCTTTAAAATGTTAAGAATGTGTATATTTTACCAGACTAAAAAAAAAAAGCTATAAAAGACGTGATATGTGTAATAAAAAAGCTAAATCTCTCTATACTCTTTTCAAAACATGTAAACTTGAGGACGGTTAAGATGGAGAGTGGGTTGAGAAATTTTTTCCAGAAAGACTATTACCACACACACACACACACACACACACACACACACACACAGGTTTGGGGCACTAGGCTGCGCTGCTCTGGCTGATGGCTCCGTTTGGGAAGCAGGATCCACCCTGCTTTACCTGGGAAATGATCTGCCCACTAGAGGCCAGACTGGGACAGCAATTGATTGGCTCCTTTAAGAAGTAAAGGCAAGACAAAGATACCAAGAGGGGACTCAGACTCCACTACTGACTGTTGATGGAGGAGATACAAAGCTCTCTGTACTTTCTAGCCCTCCTCTTTCATTAAGAACAAGCTGTTAGAAAAACAAGGGAATGAACTTACCTGCTAAGCCACTTCACCACACCAAGCTGGAGCTATCTGTAAGAACCCCACGTCCCGGAAGAACTTGCACTCATGCCCTCCTGAGCCTTCAAGGCAGAAAATCTGGTGAGAGGAAATCATGGTCGGAAACACTACCCAACATATCCAAGGCTGTGCAATGTGGAATCCTTTATCTTTCATTTTGAAAAAAAAAAAAAGATAGTTTGTTCCAAAATTAAAGTGTGGTGGTGGTTGCACAAGTTTTCTGTGAGAGTGCTAAAACTCAATGAACTGCACACTTCAAAAGGGTGAGTGGTGTGACACGTGAGTCACAACTAGACAAAGCAGTTTAGTAAATGGTTTTTCCACACAATGATTTAAAATGTCTTTAGGCAAATCTCAACATTTGTGGACTGTTTGCTTCGTTTGGGCTCAGAGGTTCCTAATCCACGTTTGGATGGACAGTGCCTTGCTGTTGTTGCAGTATCGAAAGAAGGCTGGAAGGGAGGGAAGGGAAGGGAAGGGAAGGGAGGGAGTCTCCATCTCAGGGGACCCAACTACAGCACAGGCAAAGCAAGGGAGAAGAGACTTGGGCTTGGCTTGGGAGTGAGACTCAAGGCCCCAACAAACAGCTCAGCAAGGGAGAGCCATCCAGCCTGTCCCTGAGGTCCCTGCCCTGGCCTGGCCTCTCCCAGTATGAAGGTCCGTGCTTCCTGACCTCTTCCAGACAAAACCTCAGACTCACAAAGTCCCACAGAGCCTTCCCATAAATTCCCTGTTTAAGACAGCAAGACACTACTTCTACTATGAGTCCAAAGACTCTGAAGCAGGAGGGGAAGAAGCTGAGACGTTCAAATAAAAGTTAGACTTTCATTTATTTAGAGTTGTTTGTCTTTACTCCCGGGTACTTTTACTTCTCAGAGCTGGGACACTTCTAGCCAGCAGTATTCCTGGCTCAAATGCTTTTTAAAGAATGGGTAAATATGACTTGTAAGAAATACACAGAAGGCATATGAATAAATAGGCTTTCAAAGTTCTTCACAGAACTTGTCATGATTTAAAGCTAAAATGTCCCCCCAAAGTCTCACATGTGGAGATGGGTCCTGGTCAGAAGGGGCAGTGCACCAGGGACATGATTGAAGGGGTATATTCTCATCCCCAGCTCCTATTTTCTCTCTCTGCTTCCTGAGCACCATGTGATAAAACTGCTTTCCTCTGCCATACTATTTCCACCATGGAGCCATCCAGCCATGAACTGAACCCACTGAAACTGTGGGCCAAAATAAACCTCTCCTTTTTAAACTATGGTTTTGGGGTATTTATTCCCCAGGAATGGGAAAGCCAATAAATACATCACTTAATTTTTTTTCAAGAAATTTTAAACAGTACTATTTTCTTGCTTTTTTTTTTTTAACTCAGGATTACAAAATTCTTGGGGAAAAAATCATTTTCTTGAGTTGAAAGAGTGTTAAATTTCAGCTCAGGTAAATTACCTCAAAAATATTTGGAGTTACTCAAATCGTAGGAAATGAGACTGTGATCCCATCTTAATACGCTGTCAGTTTTAGATCAGCCTCCCCCCCATCTCTTATTAGAATTCCCACGTCCTGCAGAGAATCTAGAAATGCCCATAAGTACATAACCCTGAAGTAACCACGAGGCAGTGTGGCAGTAGCAAGTGTAGCAGAAGCCTCAATGGAAGGCCTCCTGGAGTATCCCCAAGGCCCATGTATTGAGGGTTTAGTCCCCAGTGTGGTACTTTGGGGAGGTGGGGTGAGACTTTAAGAGGTGGGGGTTAATGGACAGTCTTCAGGTCACCAGGGGCATGACATTGGGTGACTGTGGGATCCCAGCCCCTTCCTTTTACTCTCTTTTCCACTCAGTCATGAGGAGAATGGTTTTGCTACACCACACGTTCCCACTGTGATGTACTGCCCACAGGTCAGAAAGCAACGGAGCCCACCAATCACGCACAGAAACTTCCAACACCCCAAATAAACCTTTTCTCTTCACAAGTTAACTATCTCAAGGATCTGTTACAGTAACAGAAAGCTGACTGGTTCACTTGCTTAGTCCTTCACCTGCTGTTACATGCCACACAAAAGCATGAAAAAGATGAGGCTTTGGCCAAAAGAAAATGCTATGGACTTACAGACTCCTAGAATGAAATTCCAGGGCTCCCTAGTCCTTTTTCCTCATTGGGAATGGGAGACCTGCTGGCCCCTGAGCATTTCACCTTATTATGAAACTTTTGCATGTGGGTGCCATGAGGAATCTCAGAGAACAGGGAGGACCTGGCAGCGTGCACATGGATGCCAGGTGACATATGACACCAGCTGCTGCCACACATAAACCTCTGAGTGCCGATGGCCCTCACATGTTCATGTCCAACACAGATGGTTGTCAGGAGGCTCTGCTCTTAGAAGTGACTCAGGGTCTCAGACTCCTTTCCGGTGGCTCAGCTTCAAGGTAGCAAGCCAGAAAACAGAGTCTGGGAGGAAGCTCACTTCACTGCTGCTTGGTCTGGGCTGTGCGGTCAGTTTGATGTCCTCTATCACTGCAAGTCTCCACATATAGGGGACAATTCAGGTATAAAGGAAAAGAGCCAGTAGTACATCACTATGCTGTGCTCTTTCAATTTATACCTGTTTTTTAAGGATCAGTTTCATTTCCCCCCCTCCAACCATTCTCTTTTGGCACCTCCACTTATGAGCTCTGTAGACTCAGTTACACTGAGGAGATGGAATTATTCACTCTCGCTCTGTTATCTGATTTTATCCTCATATTAAGAAATTGAATTTCTGGCATACCTTGTGAGGGTGCTGAGTGCCTAGCACTTTTCCAGGGTTTTGCAAGTGTGTGTGCTCTACGGTGGCCCTGCTGGATGGTGTCGTGCCGTATGTTGAATTACTCAAGTACACCATGTGAAAAATGTATGTGTGTGTCTGTCACATTTGCTGTGTGCTTCTTAGCACCATTCCAATCAATTATTAGGCCCTTGCTATTTACCTAAATAAATCGTCATGTAAATTATTCTCCATGTGTTATGGCTTGGATCCAGAATGTCTCCCAAAGGCTCAGGTGTTGAAGGCTTGGTCCCCAGTACAGCAGTGTTCAGAGATGGGGATTTTAGGAAATGATTGAATCATGAGGACTCTGGTTTCACCAATGGGTTAATCCACCAGGCATTCACAATGTGATGGATTACTGGGAGATGACAGAAATTTAGAGAGTGAGACCCAGCTGAAGGGAATGGATCCTTGTGGTATGCCTTTGAGGACTATATCTTTTTCCTGGCCCCTTCTGCTCTGGCTCTCTCTTTACTTCCTGGCCATCATAAGGTGAGCAGCCTCTTCCACCACATGGCCCTGCCACCATGGGCCCAACGCAATGGAGCCAGTGGACCATGGATTGAAACCTCTGAAACTGTGAGTCAAAACAAACCTTTCCTCCTGTAAGTTGTTTTATTGGGTACTTTGTTAGCAGAGCTAATGTACTATGGACTGATCACTATACCTTTTCTTTAATAATGCTATTTATATAATCGTCAAGATACAACCTGGTGACTTAAAACCTTATTGTAAGCGGCTACCACTTAGAGTGACCCTAGTGTTTCCCTACAAAGCTTAATTTAAATAATTGAAACCTTTCCACTAGAACCAAATTAAAGCCCAAAGCAAATTAAACCTCCAAATCTGGCTCACCTGAGAGTATTATTTTATCTAAAGACTTCTGTGGATTTCTTTTATCTAGATTTTCTTCCAGTTTTCGGATAGTGTTTAATTTCTTTTTTGTTGTTGTTGCTTTGTTTTTAAATCAAGGAGAAGATTCTTCCACATGGCTAAAGTGTCCTTCTTGGTTTGTTTTTATTTGTTTTTGTTTTTGTATGTGTGATTTCTAGGGCTTTGGGGGACCATGTGAGGTCATACAGAGAAAATGTCATCTATGAAATAGGCACCAACTTTGCTAGAGCCTTGCTTTCGAACTTCCCAGCCTCCAGAACTGTGAGGAATCAATGTTTGTTGTTTATAACCCAACAATATCTGA